AGCTTTTCTCTGCACTTTGGAAAGTATTTGCGAAAGCGCAAGTCAGCTATGAAGCTCTTATTGGGTGACAATCGATCGACCTACGTGATGGTAGTACCCCCGAGGTGAGATCAGTTTGGGGTAATTTGTGGAACGTAGATGATTCTCTGTGGCCACACAAAAGTCAGTAATTGCGTTTATTCTGCAAGTATCTTCATTTATGAAAAAATGTGGAGTTACAACAACAAAACTAGTTCAGATCACTGTCTTTATTGAACTTCTTTTATTAGTTAGAAAGTAGAGAAAAACTTTTTACAGTGATGTGAGAACGCTATAATAATCACAGAAACTAAAATCGATGTAGCATCCACTTCTGAAAGGTTCACGGAAAGACAAAATTGTAGTCATCAAGAAAAGTGCCTATGGTTCACTATCCTCTCTACCATAATAAGTTGTTAACTACCTATATAAAAACTAAGGAATGATTGCCGTGGAAACGAGTAGAGTTAGGAGTGAGAAAACGATCGCCAGTGCAGACTTCTCGGATGGACGAGAATTCGTCGAAGTATCACCTGCAAAATGCCAGTATATGGAACAATTTTATCGGAGGGACCATGAGGACTTACCGAAACTTGTGGAAGAAGTTCGCTCGGATGAACGCCTTGTTGAAGGTGACGTTTGGAGCAAAGAATCTAATGAGTTTGGAATAGTCGCTGCTGAACCCGGTGTAGAGGATGCAGTCCTATCTGTCGGTGCAGGCGACTTTGTGAGTGGAGTTAGCTTAGAAGTTATAGCCTTCTGCGTCGGTGCGGTTGACGTCGGTATACGGGATGAAGCATCAGACTCTGTCGCGGTAGAAGCCAGCGCAGAGGATGCAGCCGATGGTGAGGATGAGGTCATGGAGGGGACAGTATCGTTCTGCGCTGAAGTCGGCGATGTTGCCTCACCCGAGGTAGAGGATGCCGTTCTCTGAGTCGATTCAGCCGATGGTGAGGATGAGTCATGGAGGGGAGTATCGTTCTGCGCTGAAGTCGGCGATGTTGCCTCACCCGAGGTAGAGGATGCCGTTCTCTGAGTCGATTCAGCCGATGGTGAGGATGAGGTCATGGAGGGGACAGTATCGTTCTGCGCTGAAGTCGCGTTCTAAACTACCTCAAGGTAGAGTGAGCCGTTCCTGTGACGATTCTGCGATGGTGAATAGGAATGTGCTGAGGAGAGACACTTTTATTTGACGATGAAGGCAACATTGCTGTTGAAACAAGCGGAAAAGTTGCCTCCTGTGTTGGTGCTACCGTGGATGACTCTGAAGGCGTCATAGAAGTCGCAGTATCAGTCGACGAAGTCGACGACGCGTCTGAAGCAAGGGAAGGGGATGTCGTCTGTGTTGGTGCTACCGAGGATGACAGTAAACGCCCGGAGGACTCGACCTCTATCGGCGATGATGCTGGCGCTGTTTCTGAAATCAAATGGGAAGATGCCCCCTGTGCAGCTGTTATCGGGGGTGAAGGCCGCGCAGCGTTTCCATTACTCCTGCTGCTCAGGGATTCCCTCAGAGGCGTGCACTCCAGCCATGCTCAATGTAAATGCGACGACAGCAACTGAAACAGAATAGAGACATTCGACTGTTTCACTTAAAATGTGAATCAATGAAAAGAGCGTTAAGAAGATTTCGATTAATGACGTACCTCTTCCTAGCCAGAAACTGTGCTTTCGCATGTTGTAGCTGAGGATAGTTGAAGTTGCAGCGAGTTGTGGTCTTTACTTCTGACATATTGCCGTCATCACTGCTCCATTTATGTAGTCATGCACCTCGTAGGTGGGGGTGGGGACTCCAAAATATTTCACTTCTAGCACGACCCCGTCTTCTAATGACATAACCGCTGCAGATGGTGCCGATGACACATGCTTTCATTACAGTTTTGCTTATGTCTAGTCACCAACTGTCTGTAGGCGCTTTTTGTGACCTTTTACTGTTTCATCTTCGGAATGTCGACCTTAAAGTCGAAGCATGTTTGCGTGGTTTTCGAAGACATGCTGCGGTTTCTACTTCTTAAACGGCCGCTTCCCAGAAACGACAGAACATCTTGCCAGGAGAAGAGGATAGCCCACCTCTTGCGTTCCCAATAAAAGCCGGCTCTTTGAAAGTGCAAGAACTTCGCCTATCAGTGGAAAAAGACGAAGTATGGTATGATAGACGGCCATGACAGTCTATGCCTGAAACGCCAGGTTAAGTCGCCGCGAGAAACGTGTTAGGAACCAGGTCCCCTAATAACATTGGGGGGGGGACACACACTAAGAAACTTGCAGTATGTATACACATTTCTGAAGAAACATAAAAAAATAAAAAGTTTACAGGTGCGACTACTGGGCTTTGAAGTGAGAACCATTTGCAACGTCGTAAGGAGAACCAAACATTCTTTCCGGCCTTACCATGCGCGCCAAAACCCGCGAACTACCTGTCTCTGCTCCCAATTCTATTTACCTTCCAGGTCATTGTTGCGCGTCACGCGAGAAGTAGTACGACGCGTTGCGAGAGCGGTACGATTTAGCAACTGGACGTGAGCACGTCATGCAACTGTCTAATGGCGACTGTCTAATGATAATGCGTCTGCCTTAGAAGGCAGTTGGCACGATAATTTGGTACTCGGTCTAAATGCTAGCAGGGCGCTATATAGTGGGGAAATGGCGAAAAAACGAAGTGAAACGGTCAAAATCTGCGAAGAAAAGCCTTCGTTCTTAATGACTCAGAAGCAATTTCGGACGAGTTTTCCGTAGGCATGTTAATGACCGCTACGTTAGGCACGGCTGCACGTATGTGCTTACATATTCATGCAGCACCGCGGCCACTTCATACCAATCCCCTCACTTCATACTTCATATTTTACTTCGCAAATGAAGCAATACGAGCATCAGGTAAGGTCGTCCATTTGTGGGCGGGCGGGCGTGGTGGGCGTCGGGTCGGTATGTTGTAGCTTGATAGGGCCCCTATAAGGATACCTTTCTTGAAAAAGGCGCTACGCAGCGCCTGCTCAGGGTCGCGCAGAATTCCGTCCTGCCAGGCATATTGATCCTACTGGTCTTA